CTAAAACTTCACCAGAGCCTTCCTCAGCATGAGGGTGAGTAGATAATGGCTGAATTTTCATTTTTTGGTGCACTATCCCTTTAACTGTGGATCACTTTTCATTGCTCTGACAGAAAATGCATTCAGTAACCACATCTTTCAAAATGTATAAACTTTATTTTCAATAAAGCTCAACCACCACCAGAACTCTGTCTATTTACAGTCCATGGTGCACGTTTACATTCTGTGGCAGCGTGGGTGTAGTTTGGTATCAGCTGCTGGTGGACAACGGGTGCAGTACTTTGCACCTTTGAGTATGCGGGCTGATTATTAATCTGCATGCGGGCTGCAAGTAACATGCTTGCATAAAAACAGTGAAGCTGGGTCCAGCGAGAGAACTGACACACAAGCAGGAAAAGGAATGGGTAACTGTACGGACACGTCCCAACAGATGTATTAGCTACCAGCCCACAAGGCAGCTTTGTTTTTAAGTAGGTTTTGTCATTATCAAAACCTGCTTACCTGCTAGTTTGTGTTTGCTTTCATCCAAGCTCTTTAGTGCTTGTCACACATGCTATTTTAAAAACTGTTACATTTTGATTAAAGGGCCACTGTGTAAAATGGGTTGAAAACCGTTGAAAACAGTGACATCAGTGGTCAAATTCTAGATCGCTCACTCGCTCACCCCTCCCGTCGGGTAAATGACGGTGGCCTCATAGGGACAAAAACCTTGTGCAGACACAAGTTTTTCAGGAGTAGGTCTATCTAGCAACGAGGTGAATGTTTATTTAGAAATCTAACCCATGTTACGATATTGTAATGAATCCCTCACGAGCAGGAGACCAGAGTAGTGTCCTGTCCTTTCTGATAACACAAGCACGTTCTTTTGTTCAACAAATGATTTAACAAGGAAAACTAACCACCATGATTATACAACAGATATGCATGTAAAATATTAACAAAGCACTGGCATCTCTGCTTTTTTTTTAGTTCTCACTTGTCTATCGACATGTAATGGAATGTAACAAGCAATGTCAACTAGTCTCCAACACTCAAAATGTTTGTATCTAAAGCTATTTATCTTTGACTCAGCTGATGTTTTACGTCTAGCTTAACTTGAAATTAATCATTACAAACTGACACTCCAGAGTATATCATTGGACATGTAGCATCACCTGCTGGCATTTATATCATCCTGGAAAACAGCTTTGCAAAGAAGCAGTCAAAATGTTAGCTATTTTATCAAACCAAAAATATTTAATAGTAAAAAGATTACTTAATTATGTATGCAGTCAAATGTTGCCTGATGTGTGATTTACAAGCAGAAGGGAGAGGAAGTTATATTCATGTTAAACTGTTCGAAATATAGCCACATGCTGATAAAATTTGTAAGTGGCTGCTAGATTTGCCTCCAAAAACCAGCCAAAAATAAATAAATATATGATGTAATCTATTGAGTGACTAGTAGATTTTGAAACTCACCGGCCACCCCTGATAGTAGTGCTTTCTCATACAAAGATTTGCATGATATCTTATGAAAATGCACACACAACGTAGGGCATTAACAGAAAAGTCGATTTGTCGACGTGTCAACGTCAGTGGCACAAGTCGACCCCCCCCCCGTGAGGAGTTGACAAGTCGTGTGTTTTTTCCCTCTCTCTCTCTCTCTCTCTCTCTCTCTGTGTGCTTGTGTACGGAATGCAATCGCTGCCTCTGATTACGCTGATACTTTATCCTTGACAGCGTACTATAAGCGGAGCAGACTCCGCGAGGAATGTCCGCAGTCATTCAGGCTTTCATAGTCGAACGCACTTCCGCGTTGTAGTTTCCTGTAAAAATGTCCGTGAAAAATCCCCGCGATGTGAAAAATACATGCCGAGCAGTCACTGGTGCGCGGAGCGGAGTCCGCAGAGTCTGTTCCGCGTACGTTCCACCCGAGTATGTTCGGGCCTTGACAGACACACGTCACATGTGTGGAGATACTTCACTTTCTCCGCCGTATCAATGTGATGACGTCATCAAATGACTTGTGACTGCAGTAATCTTTTAAAGATATACTGTACAATCCAAATACTCATGCAAAGAAACAATTTAAATTGTTGGTGTGTATACTACTTCTCATGCTTCACCGTTATTTTTGCTAATCCTCCTAGTTTAAATATCTAGGCTACTCCTTGAATTGTTTTACATCTTTGTTTTGAATGTGTTCTTCTCTATGTTTTATAATCAAACAAATTCTGACTTCTAATAAATGGCTAGTTAATGCTAATCAGCTAGTTTACAATCCTTATAAAGTTCCTCTTTTCTGTAATATGAGATTGTGGGAAACATGAGCTGACTACAAGACTGTACCCCTCCTCCTCTCACCCTGAGAGGGAGAACAGACATTCCTGTTATACCGAAACACTGATAAGGAATCTGACATGTATTTTATTATTTCACTCATTTACGGTGGCGGAGCGCATAAACAAACACTTTGGAAGAGGTATGTGCTCTCAAATCAAACTTTTTTGAAGGATTATTCATTTACCTGAAGTGTCTTGAAACAAATTTCACCGCTGATTGTTTTCTTGATAGACTCTGATTTTTTATTTGGCTACTTTTTGTCCGACGATTGACAGCGGTGATGCACGGTCCGTGTGGATGAACTTGTATGAACCTGAGTTGATTAATGAAGTAACTTGAAGTCAGAAAGAAGGAAAACTGTTTTACTTTTACTTTTATTATTATTATCTTATTATGCCAACTGAAGAATTAAATTTGTTTATTTGGGTGTTTTAGCTCTTTTCTCTGGAGCGGAAACCGATGCAAATGAGCTCATTAATCAATGAGGGGGAAAACAACATGATTCCACAATTAGTCGGCTAAAGGAAAAATCTGTCAAATCAGATTTGACTATGAAAATTCTTAGTCGGGGACACCCCTAATCAAGTGTTTGGTATCGTTCTGCAGGTGATGGAATTAAACTAGATATGGAAGCATCAAATATGTGAAGTAGACAATTTTTAACTAAAATTCTAGCAAAAGGAAAATAACCACATTGCTGAGTGTCACTGATGGGGAGAGGTCGGCACGTGAATTCAGTGAAACTGGACCCCTGGACGGAAGTCTTTATACTCAGTTAAAGGCAAAATACTCGTCTCTCTTCCGCCTCTTGTGTCCTGACTACATGCTGGTTCTGTTTGTGGCTCTTTGAGCCATCACATATGCGGCCACATCCTGTAAGGTGTATCCACCCAAAACTCTCCCAAAGCCTGAGACGCCTTTGGAACTACTAAGAGCCCAAAAGTCACAGTCGTGCATTTGCCTTCTTGTAACCTGACTTGGAACTGTTGTTGCCTTTTGTTCTTGGTTTCTGACTGTTCCTAGGAGGATGCTGGGCCCAGATATTATGCTGTGTACTTGATGGGCTAAAAGGACTGAATCCAGCAACTAATTAAAGAAGAAACGCTTCAGGAGAAACTGTACTGGACTCTGCTGAACAAAATGGCCTGACTCGCCAAATGAGGCAGTCCAGCGGGACTCTTGACCATAGAAACACTGCGGCTAACTGCGGATTCCCAGCCACACAAATATGTTGAAAGCCAGCATTAGTCCACTTTTTAAAGAAAAGAGACTTTCTGAATCGACTGAACCTTGGCAGAGATTGCCATACCGATCCCCTAACCCAGCTGAAGGGGGGGGTCAAGAAGATGACCCAGCTGCCCGCTGAGAGAGAGAGATGTTGTGAATTTGTAGTGTTCTGATAACTTACTCCTAAATGCCACAAAATACTGGATCTACAAGTAATTGTCACAAGTACCCACTGCATGTTACAGATGTCAGAGTAATAATGGAGGTAATGCCTGCAATCTGTGAGGGGGGGCAGTGCCAGCAGAAAGAAAACTTTCTGCTGGCAAAAAGACAAAAAATTTGAATGCTCAGTGAAAATATGACATTTTAATGATGATAAATGATAAATGATAGAATATGCATCCCATGCTTCCACATATTTGTCAGATGTGTCTAAGCAGAGAGTGAGAGAGACAAACAGCACCATATACACACACACACACACACACACACACACACGAGACAGAGCTCTACGTGTGATTCAGACAGAGCAGAGAAAAAAACTGCTTGCTGACGAGCGCGAAGAAATGGGCGTCTGGTGTGGACTCTGCCTCACTCTTAACCTGACAACTGCTCATTATGTTGATTAAATGTGGCACTCACTTATTTATCATAGCTACTTGACAAACCTTAGATAGGAAGGTTCAAGAAATGCTTTACCCTGTCAAGGACAGCATACTTACTTTTAATTCCATCGCATAAAATCCTTAGACTTTGGCCTCATAAAATGTTATCAGTCACATAAAGACTTTATTTAACATGTCAAACAGATCCATTGTCCTGTACTCATATTAAAAAGCTAAAATTAAAGGGTTTTATGGTACAAAATTTAAGATGTCCATGATTAAACTAATCTTAACCCTCTAGTAAAACTTGACTGACAGATAACAAATCTATGCACAAGCAGAAGCTGCTGAAGATAACACCTGCCCTGTCTGATACAGATGTTACACAATTGCCACCATCATGATGACCATGTTACAGAAATGCATGTGAGGTATTTATGAGATAACTGCATCTTTGCTGTATTTAACTCTTCTCCAGATAGTAAACCTTTCACGTACTAAGATTTGTGTAAAATTTCACAACTAAATGTACACAAAATAGATACTTTTTATTCAATCTAAACATGACATCTATTGATTTCAGAAGAAATATGAAATAAAGTGCTTTTTAGAGGAATATTTACTATACTGAATTCACTGCTTCATCTTCATCAATGGTAGGGGTCATCAGATGTCCAAAGTCTGTTGCTCTAGACCACCTGAATGGACATGTGGCACCACCCGCTGGAATGTATATAAACCATACAATCTATATGTGAAACCTATACTAATTTGTAAGCTTAAGCATGTTTAGATATATTATTTACCATATAACATACTGGAAACAGTTGTGCACAGAAACAATCACAATATTCTCTTAAACCATTAGTATTTGTTTATTTTACAAAGATTAATTCATGGTTTACAAACAGAAGAGACAGTGTTATATCTAATATAAACTAAGATATGGAAAATATCAGTGCCTTTGTGTATAGTAAACTTAAAGGAAATCGATCTGTAGTCCTTATTTAGAATATTGCTGACAATATAGTTCCACCCAAAAATATAGAAACATTAAGTTCTGAAGCCACATTAATGATGTTGGTATGAAAAATAAAAATAAGCTTAATCTCATGTTTCATACATAACTTCTAAAAGAACACTCACAGAGATGATCAACTTCAGGGAAAATGTTATCAGAATGATTGATTGGTTTAATATCTGAGTCTGTATCGGAACTGGACGTCTCTGTCGGGTTGCATCGATCCAAAGCCCCATCGCCTGTAGTCAATCTCAGGTATCTTCTCATCAGGATTCTTCAGCTCAAACTCAAAATAAACCAGCATGAGGAAAGCAAACTGTTTCAGCTCATTGGTGGCAAAGAAACGCCCAGGACACATGGAGACCCCAGCACCCCAGGGCATGCTGTAATACTTCATCTTTTTCCCTGCTTTGTAAAAATCAGTTTTCTTGCTCCCATCTGGATTGAGGAAGCGGTCATATCTGAATGAATGTGGGTCAGGGTGGATCTCTGGGTCAATGTGAGCAATGTAAGGAAAGACTGCCATTCTGTCACCCTTGCGAATGAAGTACTCACGCCCATCAGCCATCTTGACAGTCATATCCTGAAGCACTGCTCTGGTGAGCAGGGGTGCAGCAGTGAGTCGGAGGGTCTCTTCCACAGCACTGTCCAGGATGGGTGTTTTCATCAGCATCTCACGTGTCAGGTTAATTAAAGGACCATCACATTTGACTTGTTGACCAAATTCCTTCAGAACGTTGTCTACCTCTTCCTTCACTGCTGTCATGGCTTCTGGGTGTTTCATGAGGAAGAGGAGCAGCCAGAATGCAGAAGGCCCTGTGTTGCCCTGAGAGGCCCAAAGAAGTACAAACATGTACCTGGTTATCATTGACTCAGTCATACCCAACTCCTGTTTGGTCTGCTGTATGTCCCAAATCCAGCGACTGATGTTATCCTTGGTCCTCACTTTCTGCACTGACAGAGTGTTCCAGAATTATCTTAGTAGTCTCTTCACTTCCAGTCTTTCCCTTGGTGTCAGGACCCCATAAGCCAGGTTGGGAAAGAGTTGGTCATATTTACGAAACTCTCGAAATAAGGCGTCTGATTCTGCTCTGTCTTTCTGTTTGGCTTTGTCTTCATTTCCCTCTGACTTGTGTGGCTCATTGCCATACAGAGATAGGTAGCCAGCCCTAAAAACAATATTGTAGCTGTACATAAACAGTCCATCCTCCATCCAGGTTCTTTGGTCTGCAGCTGAGCCGATGTTGTGCAACATCAGATTCTGCAAGTTCTTCATCATGGCTTGTGTCATTACTTCCAGGCCATCTCCCTTGAGGTGCTTGTTGCTGGACATCTGGAGAATCTGGTGATCATTTTCTATAGGTGAGTAACCAAACACTCTGCGCACCAAATGCTGAGCAAACTCAATAAAGTCCAGTTTTTCTCGACTCTCCTTAACAAGTGCCCCAAACGAAAGAGGGTCCTGCAGAAATGTAATATAAAACCCTCCCAGCTGTACTGTAAACACATCACCATGCTTTTGCTTCATCCTCTGTAGGAACTTGAACGTGTTCCTGCGAAACTCTAAGACATGACCCAGCCAAGGTATCAGCCCCTTATCCAAAGGGGGTTCTCCTGGTCGCCGCTGACGAAACACTCCGAGAATGTACAGCCCTCCAATCAGAGCGGCAAGAAAGCCAAGAAGGATTGGCAGCAGCAGTCCCATGACTGATTCCTCTGACAGCCAAACAGAGATGTAAAGTTAAGGTCCACATCTTGCAGGTTTAACAGACTTTGGCTCCTCCCTTCCTTGTGGGACTGGTTTCAGCATTTCCGGAATTGACAGCTGAGTACCATTCTAGTTAAGCAGGAAACTGAAACTTTTCAAGAAAAGAGAAGTAACACAAGGTAATGCTTTCCCTGTGTATCAACAGCAGACCAAGCACATAGTTTTCTGAATAAAACATAATTAAATCATAGGTATTTTTACAAACATGTCTGCCAACAGCCCACATTTTAACATGTTTTTACCTAGTAGCTGCTGATATAGACAGATAAACAGAGTAACCATGACTGAATGGAATGGAATTTGTGTCAGGAGTCGAAACATCATGTGTCATGTCTTTCTGACACCCAGTGTGACTCACCCAGTTGTAAACTGCATTTCATCAACAATTGGCCATTCTTTTCTGCAAGTTGTGTTTGTATTGGCAGTGAGAAGTTAAATGAATTTCCACATGTAAAGGAACATTTTTTTGTTCTTTAAATAATTCAATTGTCACAAGTGCCTACTGCATGTTACAGATGTAAGAGTAATGTTGTAATGTTGGGATGTGGGGTATCGCTTACAACCTGTGAGAGGACAAAAGACATTGGTGTCTAATGTCGTCTAACGATGAGACTTCCTTCTGTTGTATAAATAGCAGTATAAAATGTGATGATTTGGTCAAATAAAGGCTATATTAAGCAGGTATGTGTAAAACAGAGATATTATTTGTACTCACGTTTAAGCTGTAATTACAGGGTTTTATAAAACTGACCTTGACTTCCTGCAATTGTGAAACAGAAGCTGCTGAAGACAACACCTGCCCTGTTGCATACAGGTGTTACACAAAGGGATTTCCATTTCCACCACCATGATGACCATGCTGAAGAAATATAAATATTGAGATAACTACATTTTTACTTAGTTTTGCTTTTCTCCACATTGTGAATATTTTACAGATGTAAGATATGTATATGTACAAATGTATATGTACAAATGTAAGATATCCATGATAAAACTGACCTTAACCTTCTGTAAAACTTTGTCAGATTACAAATGTATGAGCACCTGTGAAACAGAAGCTGCTGTCTCATACAGGTGTTACACAAAGGGATCTGCATTCCCAACATCATGATGACCCTGTTTAAGAAATATGTGCAACTATTATTGAGATAACTGCATATTTGCTCAGTTTTGCTTTTCTTTGAATTGTATGGAGTTAGATTTGTGTCTTTATTACATGTGAGAAAATAAATGATATGAGAGAAAAAAAATGTGAGAGAAAAAAAATATTTGAGAGAAAAAGTTTTCACACTGATAGCAAAAAATAATAATATTTGAGACTAAAAAAAAGTTTTGAGAGAAAGTATTTTGTCATAGAATATAAAAAAATTGAGATTTAAAAAATGATTTCCGAGGAAAAAAAGACTGTCTCAAAAAACTTTTTTTTACTCTCAAATATTGTTTTTTTGCTATCAGTGTGAAAACATTTTCTCTCAAAAAAAAATTGTTTCTCTCAAAACATTTTTCTTCTCTCTCTCAAAACCTAAGCCTTTACTCTCATGTCAGGATTTTGCTTCCGCTGCGAAAATAATGTCATGGGTGGGGCCACGTGCCTATTGGCCAGTCTCAATCGAATTGACAGCTGGGTGAGGATCGTCCTGGGAGTCAAATTTAACTGAATCATTCATCCACCCTGGTCGATTCACCAGCGTTATTTGGGAGCGGAGACTCCAATGTTTGGGTAAGATGATGACACACACAACTCGATGGGTAGCTAGCTGAGCAAGATGGTTATCAAAATCATTCCTATAATGAATCCCTTTTCTCACCTAACGTTATTTTACCGAGATTGTGTTATTAACTGTACAGAGTCTTTGACACTAACTTTAACCAGTGCATGTCTACGTAACGTTAACCCCATGTTTTCATCGTTATCTAGCTAGCTAACGTTATGCCAATATGCTATTTAAATAGCTACGTTAACGTTAACGTAGCTATTTGACACGCGAGCAGCACAAATATAGGCTACAGACTTTACGTTAGCTAAAGTTACAGCAAAATAACATAAATTAAGGCACTATAATGGCACTATAATGGCACTCATTATCCAAACATTGGAGTCTCCGCTCCCAAACAACGCAGTGCATCTATGTCGGTGCATCGACCATGGTGGATGAATGATTCAATTGAATTCGACTCCCAAGACGATCCTCACCCAGCTGTCAATTCGATTGAGACTGGCCAATAGGAATGTGGCCCCGCCCATGACATTATTTTCGCAGCGAAAGCAAAATCCTGGCATGAGAGCAAAGACTCAGGTTTTGAGAGAGAGAAGAAAAATGTTTTGAGAGAAACAATGTTTTTTGAGAGAAAATGTTTTCACACTGATAGCAAAAAAATAATATTTGAGAGTAAAAAAAAGTTTTTTGAGAGAGTCTTTTTTTCTCGGAAATCATTTTTTAAATCTCAATTTTTTTTTTATATTCTATGACAAAATACTTTATCTCAAAACTTGTTTTAGTCTCAAATATTATTATTTTTTGCTATCAGTGTGAAAACTTTTTCTCTCAAATATTTTTTTTCTCAAACATTTTTTTTCTCTCATATCATTTATTTTCTCACATGTAATAAAGACACAAATCTAACTCCATAGCATTGTTAATATTTTAACAGAGAGTTGTGTAAACATTTATAGGTGAACATACACAAAATAAATAAAATTAAATAAGTGGATTTAATAAGTAATATGAAATTAAGTACTTAAAGAGCAATATTTTCAGGAGTGAATTCATCACAGGATCTTCTTCATATTCATAATCTTTTGAAAAGTAGAAAAAGGAGCACAATTGTATCTTCACAAAAAAGTATTTGAAATGTCAAGGGTTATGTGATTTGTCTGTTCTGTGTTGCTCCCAGAGTAAGTAAATTGACATGTAGCACCACCTGCTGGAATTTATATCTTACTGGAAAAAAATGTATAAAGCAGCAGAGGCAGGATGTTCACTGAACAACCATACTGTCTATGTGCGAAACCTACAACCTGTTTGTGAACTTTATTCATACAACATATATTTAATTACTGTTTATTTGAGTAACAGTTATCTAATGATGGGCTAAAGGTGTAGATTTAGACTATAATTTATCAGCAGAAGAGAGTCCATTTTTACATAATAACATGCAAAGCACATCTGCAACACTAAAACATGTTTGTTTTGTTTTTTAAGATATTTTTCTGGGCATTTTACCTTGAATGGACAGGACAGGCAAGTGTGAAAGGGGGAGAGAGAGAGAGGGGATGACGTGCAGCAAAGGGCCACAGGCTAGACTCGAACCCGGGCCGCTGCGGCAACAGCCTTGTACATGGGGCGCCTCCACTAAGCCACCGACGCCCCGACACTAAAACATGTTTAACTAGAACATCTGTACAATCAGCACAGTTTCAAGGTGGACACTAAAGACCACCAATTCAGTATTTGACCAAATGTCTTCCCTTCTGTTCCTGAGTTAGAATGTTGAGTAATGGCTTGAAAAAGTTTTTGCAGAACATTATGATGCCACAGTGAAGGTGATCTTTGACCTTTTGGATATAAAAAGTCATCAATTCATCATTTTATTCCATTAGACATTCATGTTTAATGTTGTCATAATAAAAAAATGAATTCTTCAGTTACAGCCCAAAACATCTTTTGTGAGGTCACTATGACCTTTGAACACCAAAATCTAATCAGTTTGTCCTTGAGTCAAGTTGTACATTTGTGCCAAATTTGAAATATTTCCCTCACGGTGTTCTTGAGATATCGCGTTTGCGAGAATGGGACCAACGTACAACCTAAGAACATAACACCTCCAGCCAAAGCTGTCGGGAGCATGGAGGCATATAACAACAAGTCTTTGATCCATCTCATTCATAACTGGACTTTAAACAATTTTACACTGGCTGCACGTAAAGGCTATAGCACAACAGCGTAGGAAAAACAACAGAAATAGACACACACAAAAAGACATTTAAGTACGTAGTCTACTTACTTACTTAGGATAAAAACACCAACATCATGGAAAAATGACCAAATCAATTAAATCTACAAGTCTACAAAATCTTGCACGCTAACGCTCCGCTTCTGAAATGCTCCTGGTGTGGAATGATGTGCAATAGATGGAACAAATCCAGTTGCCAGTGGGAATTGTCCCTCCCCGCTTACTTACAGTGAAGATGGTGGTAGAGAAAACAAAAACAGTTGAGTGATACATCTGATATGGTGTCTAACCTTAGTGGATTATAACATAGCGGGTATGGAGTAAAATGAGATCAAACTTTTCTATGGATGTCAGTTTTTCTGCCATGACGAGGGCTGAAATGTGGCCTCAGGTTTGTTGTTGGTAGCTGCAACCCCTGCCAGCTGTTTAAGAGGAGTGAGGAGTCAATGACTTTATAAAACAGTCAATAACAACTGTGAATCACTGCAACCACGAGGGGTGTTGGAGCACACAGTGCGCACACAAAATGCTAGACTGATTGTTCCAGTAATGGTCAGGATAAGCTGCGGTTGTTGGAAACAGACACACACACACACACACACACACACACACACACAAAACAAATGCTTAACCCTTTTGTCTCTAATGAATGAAAAGCTTGAATCGTATATGGATTTGATCTAACACCTTAATAGAGGAAGTATGCCTGTCTGAAACTATGACAAACTTTTAATCTATTTCATATGTTTTAAGCTGTATAACTTTGTTGGTGGTCGTTGTAGGTTACTTGATGACAGGAGACCTTTTTTGTTAACTACAACATCATATCACAGCACTTTCTAATAGAGGTCAGGCCTCGTGAACATAAACATAGAAGCACACACACACACTTTCATGTGCAGATATGAATGTGTGTGACTAAATTACTATCACTGTAAAGACGATTGAGTGATTGATTTTAATACCCCCTGTAGTTTTGAATCTTCACAGTGAGCTTGTAAACTGAAGAGTAAAGATCTCACTTCACCACTGGGTGGAGATGTTGCCTTTATTTACAGCATATGGCTCTGGGCTATTTGACTGAGTCAGTTGACTTTGGAACAGCTGTTTGATTTTAGTGTCATTTCCTTGTCTGTGCACACGGCAAAGTGAAAAGCTAGAATATAATATTACTTCTCCAGGTCAGCAAAGACATATGAAACATATGGACGGGGTCAGCAGAAGGTATAGTGTGAGGTATGACACCAGATAACACTATACACAAAATGGAAAGAAATATAAAATGTGGTTTCTGTGTTCTTGGAGGTTTTTCTGGAAGATCAGCTGTTTGCAGGACTCCTTCCCTAAGCTTTAATCTGTGGTGCAGATCAGGGCCTGGTGCGTGATCAGAGGAAACTGATGGTGCATCATAATTACATGAAGAAAATGCCACAGGCCCATTAGAGCTTCAAAGCTGCGTTTGATTTCTACTCTCAGAAAGGTTGAACACAATGCAGGAGCTTTCACAAAAGCGTGGCATGATGCTGTTGTCAAGATACCACATATTTACTTTGCTGCTTCAGTTGGCATAACATTTTATGACATCAATTAACTGAGCAAATATTTCTATGTAAACAAATCTTCTTTAGTATGTCACTTGTGTGGTTTATTTGGCTATGTCTGGGCAGAATAAGAAGTTGTTCAATTTAGAAGACAGATTTCTTCATTAAAATACACATGTGAGCAAGATGCTCTAATGCTAAAGTGTTGATCATATGCTGTTATTTGTAGAGACAATAATGTAAATATACAGACTGATGCTACTATAATTTATACTGTTAATGGTTGTGCCTTTGATGATATAATTATAAGACCTTTAATCACCTATTAACATCATCATCATCATCATTATTATTATTATTATTGCTGCTGTTATTCCTGTTGTTGTTGTTGTTGTTGTTGTTGTTATTACTCAAACTAATTTAAGAGTGGGTCATAAATCTAAAAATGTGGACCATTAACTCGGACAACAACTAGACGTTTTGTCATCTTTTTTGTTCCAATATTCTGGACCGGATGCAGCACGTTGCAGAAACGTGCCACCGGGAGCCCTCATGACAAAACCCCACAGTTACATCATCCCAGAGAGCAACACATGAAGCAAGAGAGCTCCCTTCCAGCTACCGCCACCGTCGTTTAAACACCGGTGAGGAAGGGAATAGCGTAAGGAGAGATTATACAAAAGCGCAAAGCAACGTGGTTTAACACCCTGTTAGGTTCTTTCTTTTCTCCGACATTAAATAGGACATGATATGTACAGAAAAAAACTGCAATGTGGTCAGCTGACTGAGTGAATGACTTTTGTGTTTCATTGCGAAACAGACGACACGCCTATCGGACCGGCAGTACAATTTGTTTCAGCGTCTTTGTATTGAGACGGGAAGGCACCAGCCGATGCTGCGTTCATGACACATCGGAGTTACTATAACCATCAATCTGTTGCACTGCAACCAGGCAATTTTCAATTCAATTGTCTGTTTGTAAGTTAAGATTAATTACTGACAAGCTCACTATCTAAGATACACAACTCTATTTTATTTTAGAGTACTATTACAAAGCATTTCCGAGGCGCAACTGTTTTTACCATTTTGTCCTAGGACATGAACACAACACACTCCTGACCCTGCTGACGTCAGACCTGCGTGCGATGCTAGTTACATCACGCAGCCGGTTCATTACTTCCTTCATACAGTACATGAGATCTGAGGGACTAAACACTCCTAAAACCTCTCTCTATAATATTTTTTTCTACAGGCGACTCAAATAACAGCACCCTCCTCCATCAGGTAAGACTCAGCCCTGCCTACTGTGGCGTAATTGAGGTTTTATCTGATATCAAAACTGAAGTAATCGCTGGATTGTTTTATTTTATTATCTGGGGCGTTTATTTGGCCTACGTTCAAACTGTAAGCCACTCTAAAAGATTATAACTAAGCATTGCACAATGGTTTATTTGTCTTACAATGCAGAACAGGTAGTCATTCAGGCCTATAAAAGGATGTGTCTTCCCCTGCCCTTCATGCGTAACCTCTGAGCAGTTCATGTGGTACTAACATACGATCTGAACAGCGAGTTAAAAACCAGCTTGGGGTACGACTTCAAACTTATTTTGTAGGTTCAAACTTCAAACTTATTTACATGTAATTAAGGTTTACAGCCAGGATTTAACATGGATCTAACAATGGATGGATTCCCTCTACACTGAGCCAGCATGCTGTGTTTCACAAATACCATCAAATATACTCTGAAACCTGACTTTTCTCTTCTTTCTTTTCTATTTAGTCAAGATGTCTGCTTACGAAGAGAATGAGTCCAAGTTCCTGCGAAAAGCAAAGGAGAATCCATTTGTCCCAGTGGGTGAGTACAGCACATCTTGTGCTGACATGGTTATATAATTAAAAAGTTATATTAAACTAATCTGTATCAATTCAAATACTTTTAGTTAAAACAATATTGTTTTTTCCACAGATGTATTCCAGTAGGTTTACGCCACGACTAATACTTAATACCAGACTCTGACTTTGTTTCAGTGAGTCTTCAATGTAGATTAATCTGTCTTTCTACTCTTCGCAGGAATGGCTGGATTCTTTGCCATCGTTGGGTACAAGCTGATGAGAATGAAACATCGAGGAGACACAAAAATGTCAGTTCACCTGATCCACATGCGTGTTGCTGCCCAAGGCTTCGTGGTCGGAGCCATGACCGTTGGTATGTAGCTTGGATCATTATGATCTCAGTTGCAGTGTTTCAGTTTGTGCAAAGCTGCTTTGATTTTTGTTTGTTTGGTCATTTAGTGGGATACTTTTTTTAAAAAAAATAATGGTCGTAACAAGTGGTTTGGAATAAAACTTACTTTTTTTTTTTGTTCAAAAACATTACTATTACAAATAAAGAATGAGACAACAATGCTGACAGTGTAATCATCTCATATAACATACCTAGTTTGAACTAAAACTGTTAGTGTTATAAAGATCTGGATTTTGGTTTTTATTACAACCATTATTACTTGTCAATGATCAATGTTTTTAAGTAGACGTAAGGGTCATTGTGTAACTTCTCCCTCTGTTTCTTTGATTTTAGGGGTCCTGTATTCAATGTACAGAGAGTACATTGTAAAACCCAGAGAAGAACAGAAAGCAGCACAACAGAAGTGAACATGGACTCTTACACTGACATTTTATGTCCCTTAATATTACCTCATATTAAGGTGTGTGGAAAGTTTATTTTTTCAGATGCGTCATCATTTTTGATTGTGCACATCCCTTAAGCAGCTCACCTACACTGTAAATAGGTTTAACTTATTGGTCACACTTCATATCCTCTAAGTAGTATACCAGAGGGTCAAGCTATCACTTCCCTGTTGAGAAAGAGGTTCACTGATCTCAGCTGATTAAACACTGGTCACTCTGTGTCTGCGGTTGTAAACCCAGCTGGTTTGATATCAGTGTGGACAGGTGACATGACAGGTAGTTGTGTTGCCTCTTGTTTAAAAGGTTTCGATCAGTGAACATAAAAATAATTTGACAAAGATTTAAAAATTACCACCAATGGCAGGTAGACTGATGTTTTATTTTCCTTGTGTTTATTTTATTGTCTCACACCAGGCATATTATTTGATGTACCAATGTAAGGATTTTTGCCAAATAAAAAATGATTGCACCTTTGCTGACCTTTATAAAAAAGGGCATTAGGTATTGTTATGGAGGCCTTTGTCATCATGTGGTCTACAGACAAGGCGTGTGAGCTTACACATTGTTTTAACAAGGACACAATTTGGTTTGAGACTCACCACGGTATCAGATTATAACGCAAAAAACACATTTATAAAGTCATCACATCTTAAATGGAAACAAAACCATAAAGGTCTCTTGCAGAAATAAGTTCTTATTCTTTTTAAATATTGATTGTAAAGGCCAAGCCTCTCTTTCCTTATATTCTTATCATTATGTTGTGATACACACGGGTCCAATGTTTCATTACAGAAACTTCACAAATCTTCCAGAGACATATGAGCTAAACTGACTGAGGTAAACCTACAGACTGTGCAGCAAAATATCATGTAGCCTACCTTGTGATATGCTAACATAGATGCCTACTTAAGTTATTCACTGAGTTTTGAATCTTGTGTGCAAATACAGAACATGTACTGTTGAAAGTTTCTTTGATTTTTTTTTTTTTTGTGAAAATAAAAATTGCCACTCTCGCAATTCTGAAATTCTGTTGTTTGTTTTGAAACCTCTCCAAAGTGCACTGAATATAATTTGACTGTTTTAGCTTATTCATAAGAAATCCCAACATATACTCAGTTTTTAGCTTCTTGTTTGCTCCTAGCTAAAACACAAACAATCTAATACAATAGTTAACAGTTAGTTCGTATTAGAAACACCTCTCAGTACAACACACTACGATTCAACAGCCTAACTACAGCCTCCAGGGATGTAACAAAAGGTGAACATTAAAACATTTGTGACAACAGGATTTATTGAGGTCGACATTCATTTTAGTTTGGTGTATCTTCACCTACTGTCCTTTAAGTGTACAGTTTATGAGACATTATGTCCTTGGATGTCAGGTCAAATGTCCTTACTTGAAACTCCTGGTAATTGGAAACTGTTTAGTGCTCACTTCATTGTGCATCACTTGATGTCCTAAAATCATTACACATCCCTGAACAGTAACCTGCTCCTCCCATCATATAAAACTGCTCTGCTTTGTCTCGCTGATGTCTCAATGTTTAGTGCTTTGACGCACTTAACTGCACAGCATCACACCCAAAGATCTTATTTCAACAGGAAATGGATGACATCAATTTAAGGTGGCAGGATGCTCTAAAAAGCTGTGTCATTGTGACTTGGACATTCTGTGAGCATGATGCCAGCTGCGGTTAATCAGGTTACACTGTGCAGCCTGCCACATAAAAATGCAGGTGGAGAGCACGGATGTCACGTGCCTGTTTGGTTCTTCACAATAACACCTGCTGATGGTGTGTGTATATACATGACTATGTAAATCCTGTCGCTTTCATCACTACTCATGCATTGTACAAACAATCAAATCAACATCCATAAGGTTGTCCTTACCTCCAAACCTGGGTCAAAGGATGGCACTTGAAAATCTTCCATTGGATTCACTATCAAATGAGAATGAATAAGTACTTTTCTGTTTCTAGAGTTTATTAAAACTAAGAATATATATGGATGGGTGTGTTTGATAGGATTGGATGTATCCATAACAAGTATCATCCACTCTGAACATATAAAACCAATGTGCTATTGTGTATTTGGCATGACATGTTAGAGACTGTAGACCCCCTCCCAGTCTATTTACCTTTAGCAGTTTGACAAAAGCTGCTTTGTGGAGTGTGTCGCCCTCTTGTGGTCATGTAGGACACTGGTTTACAACCTGGGGGTCCTGAGCTCCACTGGGGGGCGCCAAAGCTTCACAGGGGTTTGTGAGGCCTGCTAGGATTTTAAAAAAGGTAAGACCATTTTTAAAGAAATAAATATACATACAAATGGAAATGATATTTCTAAAGTTTGGATTATTATTTAAGATATGAAATAAAAATTTTAAAAAAACTCACAGGATAAGGGCACAGGGGAGTGAAGACCTGAACACAAGTTATATTCACCGAGCTTTTCCTCTCTACGTAACAGCCTTCTCCTGCATTAGAAAAGTACGCAGTTAAAAGAACCAAAGAGCAGACAGAACAATGGTTAAGTGTCAGGGAGAAGAAAACACTGAATTGGTTAAAAAGTAGGTTTAAGCCTGCTGAGTATGTGATTGTTATAAACTTAAAAAATAAAAAAGGAAAAGGAAAACTCATCTCATGTAATATTAAGAGGAAATAATCTGTCAAAGTGAATCCAAGTATCTCATTTTACACAAATTTCCTGCTATTATTGTGTTCACTATTTGGGTTAATTGTGCAGGTTTATCAGTGGTCCTGTACTGTTTTTGTTGTGTATCGAATAAAATATTGTAGCGACGCTCACATTTCCCAGCATGCTGGACTAAGAGGTTTGTAGTTTGCTGTTGAGTTTGCTGCTTTCTGTTTCATAACACACACGTTTTTTGTTATTGTCTATGGTGTGTCATGTTCAGAACATGATGGTTTATGCTAGTTGTAATTTGTGGATTAATTTATAGTTTGCACCATTAGTGAGTTGGCTATTCCACTTCATGACTCCAGCGGTATTTTCTCATGTAACTCATGAGTCTCATGTGTTACATGTCAATGAAATCAACAGCAAATGGGATCATTACTCTCCAAAGCAAATATTGCCCCAGCATTTATTAACCATAAAATACACAACTTAGTCAGGGGTCAACATTCAATGATAGAAAGGGAAAGATAAAATGTTGAGATTGAGAACCACTGATGAAGGACAATGTTCATAATAAAGGCTTGCCTAGTTATTCTCCTGAGACCCTGGGCGTTATATTTTGGGTTTGCTGTGACTTATACTTTATTCTGCTTATGCCGAGCCTGACACAAAAGTGGACAAGACACAAAACCTGATCAAATTTTATGTTTGAAACTTGTTTATTTGTGCTTAACAACATCTGTAGTTTAATAATGCACACAAGTTTGAACAATTTTAGCAATACTAACAAGCTGAGTTGCTGTTAATTAAAAAGTACTCATTTAAGGACATTGGGACTTTATTATTGTATTATCGCAGCACATTATACAGACCAGTAAGGTGTGACAGACTCCTACAGACAAAAAGGACATTACTAGCTTAGACTGTGGAGCAAGGAAAATCCACACAGAGCTACAAAATGAATAAATCACAAGACTTTTATAAATGTTTTAGAAATCATTTGCAATTTCGTTTTGCTCAGCCATGATCAGGTATTGAAATGAACGGTTTTGAGCAGTTTTAGACTTGAACAGTGACCTCTGACCCACAGAGTTACAAAATGGTGCATTGTTTTCCATTTTGTTGTTGCACAAAATTTTCATTCATTGACATAAACTGTTTTATACTTCATTACAGAATTGTGACTATTAAAAATTGTCCTCATAGGAGCACATTTTATTTTAAAAAAACTACTTAGTGATCAAAGACAATGATTAGTTTTTTAAACTAAAGTAAATAAAGTCCTACTAATCCCAAATAGCCTGGAGAAACTGAAAGTACATGCCAAACAAAAGCTGGAGTCTCAGGAGGTTATTATATTCCCATAACACAACTACTACTACTCACACTTTACTAATGAGTCCTCTTAGCAGGTTTTAAACACTTCTTTGTCTTTAGGTTAACACCCTTTAAACAAATACCTTCTTTACTGAAATTTATTTGACAAAAAATAAGTTTCACCTTTTGAAGTGTAGCTGAAGTAATGTCAAGATATTCACAACTACTAACCTTACAGCAAAACCAAATGTAAGAGCACACAACAAGAAGCTAGACAGCAGTAACTGCTCTGGTAAAGTTTAACATTTAAGCTAGCACTTAATTAGTCGCGAGCTCATGCGCCTGTTACCTTTAGCTAACTTTTCTCCTCATTTCCCGCCTCATTTAATTATCTAAAACTATTTGCAAAATCCAAAACCGACTGACAGACACCACACTCAAGTCTTCTTCTTCAATTGTAGTGACTGACTTGTGAAAAATGCTGACAAATTGAAAAACATTTAACTTAAGTTACAGACCTGTCAACTGATGGTGCAGCTCAGATTGCACTCAGCACCCTGCTGTTCCCATTACTACACTCATGCTCTCGCGAGATCTTGTCCTCAGTCTCTGGAGTGCTGTTACTATGGATACAGTAGCGTCGCAATCAGTGGGGGAAGCTAACAGTTTCTTCACCTAGGGTACAAAATGCTGCGGTGTAAATCAGGTTTTACTTTGTTTATAAGGACGATACGGTGATAAATGACAGGTGAGCTATTTCTCTATTATCAGAACCTTGTGCAATTAATATTATATGCCGTTTAATAAGGAGTTGGAAGGCAGGAAGTACAGTTCTGCTAGCTAACTAACGTTGACAGTCACTTAATAGTATCATAAACAGCAACGTTACCAATCGCTAAATGCTCCTGACGTTACCTTAAAAAATATCAGACTGTGTAGGCTCCTGACCGGCCACATTTAGGTCAGTGGGGTCATCAGTAAGACCCCTGTACCTGACAGTCATGGACTAGCAACAAGAAGGAGGCACTTAAAGTTAAGCCATGTTGAGGAACTATAAAGAGAAGGACCTTGTTGTGCTGCTACTTACACAATGATTAACTAAAACTTGGGGCATTTATTTTAAGGCGTTTTTAAACCTGGTCTGCCATAAAAAGAATAAGTAAAATTGAAGCTAAGATCAAGCTGGTAAGGGAGATGGTTATGTTCATTCAGCTAAAACAAACAAGTGAGGAAAACTGCATCACTTATTTGTGCTGCTGCCTTCAAATGGAGAGAAATTCATGTTTAAGTATCCATAATATTACTATAACCAAAATCCCACTCAATTTTAGCCACAATATGTATTCCTCCTGTCATTTCCCACTTTTATAAATTCATTATTATTTTCCTCTCATGCTATAAATCATAGATCATGGAGGATGACGAACTGAATGACTTGCGGCTCCAGTACCAGGCGCTACAAAAACAGCAGGAGAAAAGAAAACTGGCCAGGAAAAAGGAGAAAGAACCTAATGTCAGTGTTTCTGAGGATGATCTGGATCTGTCTAAGCAAGGTATTCAGGCAGACGATGTCGAACACAGGTGAGTTTTACAAAGGCTAAAATAAATGTTTTCCCTCTATGCAGCTTAAATTGTTTTGACATTTTAAATTGGCACACGTTAGAATTCTACATTGGAAGTAGTCATCATCTGAATTGATGTGAAAAATCATGTTTTTAACTTGCAATAATCACTGTCATCTATTCAGTGTTAATTTAAATTACCCCACTAGACTGTTACAGAATGAGAATCAAAATCAGAATTTGCTGGACCAGCTGAGGGAGCTCAAGGATGAAAACGGTCGGCTCTTCAAACTTCTCAGCGAGAAGGATTTTGAAATTAAACACCTGAAGAAGAAAAGAGAAGAAGAACGTCTGGCTTTAGCAGGTATAATACCATAGCCTTGCACCAAAGTAATGTTATAGGTACATCGCAGCTTCCTCGTGACTTATCCAACTGTCCATTTAGGCACATCGGGCTTGGCAGGGGATATCGCGGCCACCAAGATTGTTGAGCTGTCCAAG